AAATCAAGAAAATAAACGGGCCCTAATAATTAGCAAACACAACTGTGCAAGAATTGAGAATATCCAAAAATCTCAGGGGTATCCCTGAAAAATACGTTCAAAAGGAAAACGGTGCAAGTTCGGAAAATTTTGGAATTTTCCTCTCTCACAAAACCCCTCAAAAGTCCTTGAGCCTTCACAGTTTTGGAAGTGTCTCTCCACTTCCGCCAAACTCAAACCCATTTTTTAGTTTGTTTCAGAGCTCTCGGAAGCCATTGTTAGAGCTTTATCATAAGCCATGTCAGCCCTTTCTCGGCGTAGCTTCCGCTCCTCTTCTCGTCTCCTCTTCCGCCGCTCTTATTCGTCTTCCGGTGTTAAAGCTCTCGGCGACCCTCCAATTGTTCATTCTCGCAGAGTAGTTGTAACCGGTAATATTTCTACTTTTTGTGGGTATTAATCAAAATGTAGTTTTTGATGGTTGACAAGGCAAAGCAATGATTCTGATTGCAGGTTTGGGAATGGTGAGCCCACTGGGTTGTGGCGTTGAGACCACTTGGAACCGTTTGTTGAAAGGAGAGTGTGGGATAAGGAGTTTAACTACTGATGATCTCAAGATGCATAGTTTTGACAGAGAAACCCAGTTGTACACATATGAGCAGCTCAGCTCTAAAGTCGCTGCTGTAGTACCATGTGGAACAAAACCTCACGAGTTCAATGAGGAGCTGTGGCTTAACTCTAAGGTATATAAAAAGCTGCCCTTTGTTCAGTTTCGTGTAATTGTTGCTTAAAGCATAGGTCACATTTGTTTCACGCGTTTCAAATCATGATTCTGAGTCTGTTGCAATATTTTTCGTTGATGAAAAATTTGATTTTAGAATCAAAATCGTTGACTTAAATTAACGAAGCAAACGGGCGAATACTGTTTTATTTATTTATTACTCTTTTTCTTCTGCTGGGTGTGTTTTTTGTTAGGAGAGTTCCGCAGTTGCAAGTGAGTTATGCATATGGTGTACATAAGTTGTTAATATCCAAAGTACGGTCTTTTAGTTAGTGTTAGTGTGTTGCCAAATTGTTGATGATCAAGTGAATATGGATATAAATAGAATGCATTATGGTAGACGGATTTGGGTATAATCAGAAATTCGAGAAA